TGCACACAGGACATGGAACGCCGGCCTGGCGAAGGCGAGCGCGACATGGCCATGCCTGACGCGTACAACATATTCACAGCATCTGGGAAGGGGTGGGAGGGGGGTGGGAGGGGGGTGGGAGGGGGTGGGAGGGGGGTGGGAGGGGTGGGAGGGGGGGTGGGGGGGGTGGGAGGGGTGGGCGGGGTGGTGTGTTTGGGGGTGGGGGTCCTTTTCTTTGTGCCTCGAAAATATTTTTTGGACCGTTTGCAAAGGGAATCTTACGTTGGGCTAGTTTCTGGTTTGGTTACTTCGCAAAAAACTAGCTCTATTTTTTGCAGCCCCAGAACCCAGAAATGAACAGAACCAACAAAAGCCTGAAAAACCAAACAACCTCCAAGAACTGTGAAGGTTAGGTTGGGTCATCTCATGCTACGTATGTAATTGTATGTACCTAATGTACCCTGTTCACGCTCTTTTGGAACCGGAACCTGACTGAGGGGTCCTGAAAAAGTGATGTTCCTTTAACATGGACCCTCTGGTGAGTTCCAGGTTAGCGGACATGAGGGTATGTACTTGATACGTGTGTGTGTGTGAAAAATGCATGCAATCGACCTAAGTAATTAATGTTTGTGATCAGTGTGAATAATCATTGCATGCGTGCATGCATGTTTGTATGTATGCACGTAGGCACATTCATAGCATCTTCACGTGGATAGGGTCATAAGTCCCGCAGCAAGTAAGATCTCTCCAGTAAGCTGCAACACCCAACAAGTCACCAACGCAAAAAAACTGATTTGGATTGCATGGAAGATTGTGATGGAGCTTCTCAAACTGCATGAGACCAATCAAGCTGAGGCTTCTTTGTCAGGGCATCCTTTGACCCATATGCATGTCACATACTCTGTGTTTTCTCTCAAGTGGCTGGGGACCCCAAGCCAAAAGGTCCCAATTGAAATCCATCTAGACTTAGCAGTCTTGACCCCTAGCTCCCACGAGCCTGCCGGGGGCGATGCTATGGCCAGCACAGGGCCTAGGCTGGCGTGCCAGTGCCAGTTTCTCTTTCAGTTCTAAGCTTCCATTTGCTTCAGCCACCTGGAAAAATATGTCCAGTAGTGATAGATTCCGTTTTAAGCCGACAAGACAAAAGCAATACTCTTAAGCAAATGGAAGTAAACCAAGCCTAACTTCCTGAGTGGACTGGCAAAACAATCATATAACTGTTTTGTTTTTTACCACTAAGTTTGTCACTGCAACATGTTTATATAAAGTCCAGGAACTCAGGGACTGAGATAAGCCATGCGGATCGAGGCCATCTTACGGCAAGAAGCGCCTCGTGTCCAACAAGAAGGGCCAACTCAGCATGCAAAAAAGGGGAAGTTGAGGGCACGTGGCCTTTTGTGCTGACACAAAAAGGCACAACGGCAAAACTACGTCAACCACTTGTCAGTCACCTTGTACGACCCACCTAAACAGTTTGCTTCCCTCAATCGATTCAACCTAATCCCATGATTAGACTTAGGCCCAGTTATAGAATGTATATTCTATGGTTTGCTTCCCTTTCGGTCACTAAAATGTAAAATGGATCCTAAGTCTACTCCAGATCCAATCAAGACACGGCGCGCGATTAAAAAAAACAAATCGTCGCATGGGGCCCCCTTGCTGGAGCAGCGGAAGCTGGCGGGCATCGCCACCGGCATGGAGCCGAAGCTGTAGCTGGCCAGCCTCACAGCCACGCAGCGCGTCCCGCGACCCCGGGGCCGGGGCCCACGCGGCCCGCGCGGTCCCCACTGAGACAACTTCCCTTGGCTGGGAGAAAACAAACCGTGGGCGTTTTTGGGTTGCACAGCACATGTTCCAATGAAGAGAACCCACAACCCCAAAAAAAGCACAGAAACATGCAAAGAGCATTGTGGAAGGGGCTGAGTACGTGGAGAGTGGGTCTGGCAAAGTTTAAAAGTGGGGGTTTAGGGAAAAATGGCTAGCCAGCCATGTTTGCAGGGCCCCGCAAAAAACAAGCTGGGACTTCTGTCGTTTCCTTTAGCTGGGTAACAAATGGGCAGGTAGCAAAGGGGTGCTCGGAAGCTACGAACACCCGTGATTTTGCTGCAGAACCCGTTTTGTGGACCCCCGATAAAGTGAAACTTTTGAGGGGAACCCCCGAAACTACTCCAAACCACAATTCAGAGCGCCGGGCACTTTGAATAACCCTGGACCAAATGGGACCCAACCAAAATTGATACCCCCCTTCCCCCCAAAAACAAAACACAAAACAAAAACAAAAAGGTTCTACCCTCTCACCCCCCCCCAAAAAAAACAAAAATGTACCCCCTCTCCCCCCCCTCACCCCCCCCCCCCCAAAAAAAAAAAGTTGTACCCCCTCCCCCCCCCCCCCAAAAAAAAAAAAAAAAGCTTTCCCGAACCAAGCCCCAGAAACCGCCGGAGATCCACTCCCCAACTCTGCCGGCGCCTGGGGGCTGAGGGGCTTCGCAAGGCCTCAGGTGCCATATGCTTCGACTGGTGCGATAGGTGGGGAAGGAGGGAATGGAATGAACCCAAAAATTGGTCCCCATAAAGGAAACCAAATGGATGGTTCATAGGGATAATTCCAACTCATTCGCCTGCTAAGCATCAGCAAGTCAATAGAAGCACAAGTTCGTGCTTCCTTCCCAGTTTGCGCCACTTTCGGGCACCAGGGATTTCCCAATGCACCCAGAGGTAACACTACCTTACCTACTATAGGTTTGCTTGGAATCAAACCGGGAAAGCTCAGCTTCTCCGCTTGGAGATGGAGACAAATCTATGGACTAGGTCCCCAGACTTGACAGGTTAGAACAAGGGTGCCCGATTTTTTTCTGTTGTCTATTTTAGTAGGGGTACCTCCCCCAAAAAAGAAATGGTAAAAAAGGCACTACTGGGGGACCTAGTGGAGAAAAGATTCGCAACGTCTGCCAGATTTGGCGAAGATCAGGAACAACCAGTGCTGCCGACTTACATCGGTTCTTTGATGGACTGGCCTCTTGAAACGTGTAGCTTGCCTGGACTACATAGCATAACATCTCTTGGGGGCTCCTTTGAGAAACGACCCAAATGTTCCAGAAGTGAGGCCCTCCCAAGAAAACAACCAGCATGGGCACGGGAGCGTGAGGTGCCATGGCTTTCTGGGAGCCCTTGGAAAGCCAGTCCGTACGGACGTGGGGGCTATGGATGGTCTTTGAACCGAGTTTCAAAGGCAGCCATGCAGGGCACCCTATGTAAGGACACCAACCAGAACACCTCAAGAGAATGGAATGCCCATTTTGGCAGCAACATGTTTCGGCCAGTTGAAAAACTGTCCAGCTATCCAAACATGGACCTTGTACCTGGCTCAAGGCCCCTCTTGCATGGCCGGGACCTTTTCATTTAGGTATGGGTTACTTCATGTCCACCACGTGTGAGCGGAAAAGCTGGCCCAAACAATCCCAGAGCTTGTCTGGACAAAAACCCCTAGGCTTCCAGCTGTTGGAGAAAAACATGGTCCATCTGCCTGCGTAGCATCAGGCCACGCACCGCCTAGGGCTCCGAGCCACAGACATCACAGAGGCAGAGGTAGGCGTGGAACCCACGCTTCTCCTGCCTGAATTGGAGACGACGAAATGGAGAGACTCATCAAGAAACCAAAAGATAACAAATGATTCCATCTGCACTAAAATGGCTGTGGGTCAAAAGCCGTACCCCCAGTGAACATCCCAATCCCCACTAAAATAGGTTCCAAAATGGGTGGTGCTACCCCAAAATGGGATCCCATTGTTGACCCACCCCCAACTCAAGGACCTCCAACGGCGCGCCTGGCGTGTCTCCGCTGCGCGGCTGCCACGGCGGGCTCTCGCTGCGCGCATGCGCCTCGACACGCGCGCCATGAAGGCTTGGAGCCGCCTCGCGGGAGGAAGCGCGAGGAACCTGGCAGGCGAGTGGCTGTGGTGGTCAAAACCGTTTTGGGATCCCATTTTGGGGTTTTGGGTGCACCACCCATTTGAGAACCTATTATAGTGGTTGGATTGGGATGTTCTCTGTACGGGATTTTGACCCATGGCCAAGTGAGCCCGCTGGGGACGGCTACGGCCCAGTGCTTCCAGGCATCTATAGTAGGTAACCCTTTGTATTGCCAGGTGTTACGTGGGGAGTTTCCCTGGTCACCTATCTTGGTTGCTGTTGAGCCTCTGCAAACAGTTAACTGTGTGTGGGTCCAACAGAAAATCAAAGGTCCAACAGCCACAAAGCTAGAATGGTACCCGCCAGCACTGGCGCGAGTCCCTCCAGCTTTTTCATTTCAAAGGGGATGGCTGTAACTCACAACCAAAAATTAAAACTACTGAACTTGGCCTGGGAGAGCCCCACATGTTGCAGAGGCTGTGTGAACTTCTGGGAGTTGTTCAGGGCATGCAGTGGCTTTTGCAGCAACAGGAAAGACCTTCCGGCCCCGAAACGGGGTTGGTTGCCGCACACCTCTCAGCACATCCGGTGGATCGGGTTGTTTTGTTTCTGCCTACCTGAAATCCAAACCCGCTACGGCCTTTTCCGTTGAGGGTGGTATACGCTGCCTGTAGGCGGGTCCAAAATTGAGGGGACCTCAGAACCTAAAAGCCCACAATGACAAACCATGTGCAAGACAAAGAATTCCCAGGTACCTCCCACCCCCTCCCCTTTTAAGCCTCTTCTATCTGCTCTTGGGTATCATGGTCAGGCTCTGACACGAGGCACGCAAACACAGTTCCCACCTCCCTGGATTGTCAAGGAGTTCCAGGTACCCTCCCTCCAGCAACAGAAGCTGACAGGATCATGTTGGAAGACTGCCTTCCTTTGCGAAAGCCCCCTGTCTACTTCTTGGACGACGCGAAATCGGATTCTTACAAAAGGTTTCTATTAAGTGGGCCTTCGGACGCAACACACATCATTGCCCTCTCGTGCAAACTGGAGCGAGTTAAACAAGCCCCCCTCAACTTCTAGTTGGACAGATCGATCATCGCCGGTCTTTTGCGCTCGCATCAGAAGGAAGAGATGCGCTTGCGCAGCTCCGCATGCTTGCCACCACCATCGTGGTATCCTGCTAAGACCTCGGGGGCGCTCGCACCCAACTCTTGCAGATCGCGAAAGTCTCCTGCCCTTTCAAAGAGCATGGTATGATTCAGGGGGATCCCCGAAATGGTGGTGTTCATGTTGGTTTCCCTTGAAATCAAGCCCGAAACCCCACAATTTGGAGAGCTCGAATACGCAAGCGGTCATAGTGTTCAGCAGCTCCAAAAAGAATAGCTGCTCCACACACACCCCGTATGCAGCTCAAGCAATGTTTTCAAGCTGAATCTGTTGATCAGTACTCGAGTGAGAGGTGCAAGCATGCAGAAACACAATTTGATAACGCCAAACCTTACAGAGCCTCAGAGCTGATTTTTCCTCATGTGCAAAACACTGAACTGAAATCGTGAGACTCGATGCCCAAAAAGGAAACCGGCTATTTCAGCCTTCCGGGTGGGTCAGTGTTCCATATTGCCCCAAAGCGATCATCCCAAAACAAGCCTAAACATCGGCCTTTCCAGCAGGTGATGTGAGCGTCTTAAAGCGGAAACATGTGAAATAACGGATATGCCACGCATACGTTCTGTGATAGCTATCTACGTGCATGATGGTTACGACATGTTACGAAGTCCATTCAGCAACCCCTGCAGAAACCCCAGAAATGCCCCGATTTTCCGCTGCAGCCACCTTAAGCCATGGCTTCCCCTGGTCCCCCAACCAGCGCGGCACCGGCGACTGCGCGCGTGCCCAGGCGCGGGGTCCGGGTCCTGAGGTCCCAGTCCCCGGAAGTTGGGCACGTTCACCGGCGCGGCCAAGTGCAGTCGCGCAATGGCGCCTGATCTGAGCCCCCGTGGTGGCTGTGTGTTGTTGTTTGTGTTGTTTTTGTTTTGGCTTGATGTTTTCCCTAGTCCTTGGCCACAAACGAACAACAGGCCCCGTGGCTTCTGTGTTGTTTTTGTTGTTGTTTTTGGCTTGGGTTGGTTTTTCCCGGAAGCATTGCGAAGGGTTCTTCTTCTAAAAGCGGCTGCCAACTTCACCTGCCAACTTCTCATGCCAACTTGTCGAGAGTTACTTCACCTGCCAACTTCTCATGCCAACTTGTCGAGAGTTACTTCACCTGCCAACTTCTCATGCCAACTTGTCGAGAGTTACTTCACCTGCCAACTTCTCATGCCAACTTGTCGAGAGTTACTTCACCTGCCTACTTCTCATGTCAACTTTTTGAGAGTTACTTCACCTGCCAACTTCTCATGTCAACTTTTCGGCTGTTATCTCATTCTACTAAAAGCACAAGCTAATTTGTCGGGTGTTACTTCACTATCCTAAAAACACAAGCTAACTTTTCTGTTCTACCTTCACATCTCGACTCTTAATTCTTCTTCTTTTTATGGCGGGGGTAGGCCCGACGGGAGCTTACGAAACGCACCCCTCTGCGGAGATCGTGCGTGTCGAAGCGCTCTCGCTGTGGCGCCGTGCGAATTTGTCTTGACCTTGGCGAACCCTCTGCGGAGATCGTGCGTGTCGAAGCGCTCTCGCTGTGGCGCCGTGCGAATTTGTCTTGAGCGCGGCGAACCCTCTGCGGAGATCGTGCGTGTCGAAGCGCTCTCGCTGTGGCGCCGTGCGAATTTGTCTTGACCTTGGCGAACCCTCTGCGGAGATCGTGCGTGTCGAAGCGCTCTCGCTGTGGCGCCGTGCGAATTTGTCTTGACCTTGGCGAACCCTCTGCGGAGATCCTGCGTGTCGAAGCGCTCTCGCTGTGGCGCCGTGCGAATTTGTCTTGACCGGCGAACCCTCTGCGGAGATCGTGCGTGTCGAAGCGCTCTCGCTGTGGCGCCGTGCGAATTTGTCTTGAGCCCGATGAACCCTCTGCGGGGATCGTGCGTGTCGGATCGCTCTCGCTGTGGCGCCGTGCGCATTGTCTTGAGCCCGATGAACCCTCTGCGGAGATCGTGCGTGTCGAAGCGCTCTCGCTGTGGCGCCGTGCGATTTTCTTGCTCGCGAAACGGCTTTTGGAAGTTGTCTCGTGGTGTGCGCGCCTGCTTTCGCAATCCCGCGGTCCCGGGTTCGATTCCCCCCTGGTCCGCGGCAGCTCCGGCTTGAAAATCGCAGCTTTTAAGTACAAACGTAGTACGCGGAGCGTGCTCCTGCAGCTCCGGCTGGAAAATCGCAACTTTTAAGTACAGACGTAGTACGCGGAGGCTGCTGCAGCTCCGGCTGGAAAATCGCACTTTTTAAGTACAGACGTAGTACGCGGAGCGTGCTCCCGCAGCTCCGGCTGGAAAATCGCAACTTTTAGATACAAATGGCTGGAAAATCGCAACTGTAAATTGCAAATGTAGCACGCGGAGCGCCTCCGCCGCTCCAGCTTTTTGAGGGTTAATTACTTCACCTGCCAGTTTCTCATGCCGAAACTTCGAGAATTACTTCACCTGCCAGCTTCTCATGCCACCTTTTCGAGAGTTACTTCACCTGCCAACTTCTCGTGCCAACTTTTCGAGGAGTTACTTCACCTGCGAGCTTATCATGCCAACTTTTCGAGAGTTACTACACCTGCGAGCTTCTCATGCCAACTTTTCGAGAATTACTTTACCTGCCAACTTCTCATGCCAACTTTTCGAGAAATACTTTACCTGCCAACCTCTCGTGGCAACTTCACCTGCCAACTTTTCGAGAATTACTTCACCTGCCAACTTCTCATGCCAACTTTTCGAGAAATACTTTATCTGCCAACCTCTCGTGGCAACTTTTCGAAAAATTACTTCACCTGCCAGCTTCTCATGCCAACTTTTCGAGAGGTACTTCACCTGCCAACATCGCCTGCCAACTTTTCGAGAGTTACTTCGCCTGCCAACTTCTCGCGCCAACTTTTCGAGAATTACTTCGCCTGCCAACTTCTCATGCTAACTTTTCGAAAGTTACTTCACCTGCCGGCTTCTCACGCCAACTTTTCGAGAGTTACTTCACGCGCCATCTTCTCGTGCCAACTTTTCGAGAATTACTTCACCTGCCAGCTTCTCACGCCAACTTTTCGAGAGTTACTTCACCTGCCAACTTCTCATGCCAACTCTTTGAGAGTTATTTCACCTGCCAACTTCTCATGCCAACTTTTCTCTTGAGTTACTTCGCCTGCCAACTTCTCATGTCAACTTTGCGAGAATTACTTCACCCGCCAACTTTGCCAGCCAACTATTCGAGAGTTACTTAACCTGCCAGCTTCTCATGCCAACTTTTTGAGAATTGCTTCGCCTGCCAACTCCTCATGCTAACTTTGCGAGAGTTACCTCACCTGCATCAACTTGCCTCTATGCTTCCGGGCCACTCGTCGTCTAGTTTCCATAGTCGTTGGGGAGTGGCCCCAAGAACCAAGTCCAGAGAGTCCGGGGGCGACGTGGGCGGACATCAAGTGGTCGCTCTGGGCTGTAAATGGTTTCTTGCAAATCTTGTCCTGCTTGCTCCAAGCCCGGGCCTCTCCAAAAGGTCGACAGACCTTTTGTAGGTAAAGCCGTGTGCCAAAGGTCTAAGAGCAGTAGTAGTGGTAGTAGTAGTAGTAGTAGTAGTAGTACTAGTGGAACGATTCGGTCACCAGGATCATTTTTTTAAGAAGATACTGTCTGGATTTGTTTGGCTACCCGGCTCCCACTCAACGTGCAACCTGACTGGTCCCGCAAAAGCCGATTGCTTGCCGAGCCTATGTTGACGCTAGGGCTAGGGGATGGCCAGAGGTGTCACGCCATGTGTCATCCAACATGCGGCCTGCACACGCAGTTTGGTGGGACTGGGTGCATCTGCGCACCTGAAAATCAGTTCATCTGCGCACCTAGCGAATGATTATGCTTTTCTTTTTTTCTCGCATCACTGTAGGTGTTAGGTTTCTGGCACCCTGAATTCCGTTCATCCGCGAACCTGATTGCCTGGTTTCCCCACGCTTTATGGTTTGGCTTACATCACTTTAGGTTTTAGGTTCTTGGTTTTTCGGTTTGGGGTTTAGGCTTTTGGGGTACACATCCCAGCGCGCTGGCTTCGCCTGAGCCGGCGCGCAAAGGAAGCTGGTCGGCGACATGGATAGCTTCATGCAATATGTGACATGCAATATGTGACATGTGACATGTGCCATGTTGTGACATGTTGTTTTGAACCCAATGGAGGGAAAAGGCTGCTGTTCCCTACGCAGACATGCGCCTGCGAGCCAAATCAGGTGCACAAACGAACCGATTTCCAGGTGCACGGACGAACCGATTTCCAGGTGCCCAGACGACACGCATTCCCAGTTTGGTTTGCAAGACTGAAAAGAGGGGCCACCGAACAAATCCACAAAAAATGGTGGGGTTCTACCATTTTGCGAAATCCCCATGTGGCAGCACGCGTGCAAATCCACAAGCAAGGGGGTCTCCCCTTTTGAGAAATCCCCAACTCGCAAATTTCTAGGGGTACCTCCCCCATTCTTTCCGGTCTTTGAAAAGAACGATGGTTGAAAAGGATGGAAAAGGACTCACCCCCTCGAAAATTGATCACAAAATGGTCCTATTGAGAAATCCCCATGCGGCAACACGCGTACAAGGGGGGTCTACCATGTTGAGAAATAGCTGTGGGTCAAAAATCTGTACCCAAAAAGGAATCCTGGTAAATGGAAACATGGACCAAAACCTGCGGTCCCCTGGTGGTGTAATTCTGACCCATACCCAAATCCCCAACTCGCAAGTTGACCCTCGCCTGCCAAGAGCTTGGAGATGTCGATGACCTTGATGCGGTCCACCTGGCCAACGCCCGCCATGCGCTTCAACCCGGCCGTCTGGTCCATGCTGTTGGTGACCTCAGCACAGCCAACCTGCGCGCCTGCATGGCGTGGTCTTTTGTTGAGGGCCCCACTTTTGGAGTGCTTTTAAAGGAAAACCTTTTTTTGACACACAAGGCATGGCATAGTTTCGGACACCTGAGTGGATGGCCCAAAACAAGTTCAAACTTTATGTTTACCACTAAACTGGTCTTCCCAAAAAGTTTAAAGTTCATGAACTGAGGAAGTGAGTTGAAGGACAAGACCAAAGGAAAACCCACAGTTGTGGCGGGTCTCCTATTTTGAGGCGCGCCACGTGGAATGGGGAGGGGTCATAACTGCAGCAAGAGATTGAACAAGCAAGTCTAAGACTGAAGCGAGAGTATTCAGAATTTGCGGTCAAGCCACAGCAAGCCATTGCAGGTTGCACTCCTTCACCAAGCCTCAGTTGAAACAAACGACACGTAACGCTAAGCAACACATGTTGAGAGAACTCATGGCCATCCAGCGAGCATGCCAGCTAGGCTTCGGCAACAAACGCGTATTTGCCAACACTAAGACAAGTTGGCTTCATGCTACTTCGCGGTGTTCATTAAATCCCCCAAAAAAAGAAGAAAGAAACAAACAAAGGAATAAACCAACAAACAAGCAAACAAATCAACAAACAGACAAATACACAAACAAACCAACCAACCAACCAACAAACAAACAAACAATAAAAGAACAAAAACAAACGAACCAACAAACCAACAAACCAACAAACAAACAAACAAACAAACAAACAAACAAACAAACAAACAAATCAACAATCAAGAGCAAAGTAAGGCAAGCTCGCCCAACTTGGCCCGAGGCGCGCGTGACCTTGTCGCCCGCATCCCCTGAGAAGTAGCCGTGGGGCGCCACTCCGTAGATCTTGGCCGCGGGCAGCAGCTTGCAGAGAGCGGTGCACACCTCCACCAGGTTGCCGCAGGTGTCCTGAGTCACTTGGTGCACCAACGTGCGTCCCCCCGTATTAGGGGGAGGGGGATGGGGGGTGCCCCAGTTTGAGTTGTATAGGGAAAATGGGTTACTTGCAGGGTCACCCCCTCCCCCAATTCTTTTTTTTGTAATGGGGGGGGATGTTGGCGCGATAGGTAGGGAAGGTTTTTTCCGAGTCCGGGTTTTGAAAATGAACCTGAAAATGTTTTAAGGAAATTAAATTAGGGATGGCTTCTCTTGGGATCATTCCATTTCTCAGCCTCAATCGAACAAGCAAGAACTTTGGGCAGCTCTGATGCCTTTTGATCCCTTGCTCTTTGCCCGACACCAGCGCAGGCATCTTTGCTTCCCCCTCAATCCTCAACAACCTAGTTCAGAAGAACACTCCTTCAAGGGGCCCCTTTGTTTTCTGAGAGGGGGTCACAAGTCCAAAAAGACAACGGGGTCCCCAAAGCTTCGATTGAAATCTGTCAGCTCCCCTTCACAAGAGACGAGGACAGAAAAAGAGAGGAACCAGCCCAGCTGCTAACACAGAAAGCCCCCCACATGGCTCAACTCATTCAACTCAAACGGGGCGAAACGAGGTCCGGCCAAGATTCCCTCGCTGCTTGGGTGTTTGAGCGTGTATCGGTCTAGTCCGCTCTAGTATATAACCAGAGACTTTGATGTATGCGCCCCGCTAAAAACGTGACATGCACTACTGTGGATGGACGAAATCCTGCAACACTTTGAAACCATGGGAAGCCATTGTTCGTTGGTATTTACAGGGGAATCATTCATTCCAGGGTTTCTTAAGTGGTGAAGGATTTCGTCCACAGTATCATGCTTTCGATGCAATCACAACTGGGCTGCCCGATTTCAGATCCCCGCTAAAAGTTTAACCTTTCGTGGGTCAAATGGAAAACCCCACTGAACGCTAAAAGGCTAAAAAGCTAAGGGCCACCAAAAAAAAACACAGATCTTCCAACCAATCCTGGCACAAGCCCGTTCACCATCGCTAGACTTGTTCAAGCTGCAAATGCAAACAAAGGACTGCAACCCAACCACACCCCCGTTCTGTCCAAAATGGGAGCACTGCTTCCAAGCAAGGTGAGCAGCAAACTGCAAAACGTGCTTCCCTCAATCTGGAGAAAGCTCTCTTGAATTGAAAACACCTCCTGAAACCCGGCATATGCCACATATGTGCCACATGTAGCAGCGAGCTGCGAACATGTCATCGATGACGACAACGTCAGTCACTCCGTGGATCTGGGAATGTTCAGAGATGATCTTCACATCGCCTTTCGGAGTGAGACCATCTGTCAGCCAGACAATACTTCACGGCAACCTGTGAAGATTGTACCAGCCCTAATTCTCTTTGAAATCAGCACGTGGTTGCATGCGAGCAGGGAGCCTGCTTGAGGGTACACTGTCAAAGCAACTCACATACGTTGAAGCACATTTGAACCCAAGGTATGAGTGAAGCATGGAAGATTTGGTTGAACACAGGGCTTCTAGTGAACTACATCATCCCCCTCGCCGCAGTGGGCAAAGAATGTGGGCATGCCCCCTTTCACACCCCTTACCTACATTTTTCTGAAGGGATGGGGGAGATCGAAAAAATCGCCGGGGGGCTAAAGCCCCCTTTTTGACTTTCGTTTGCCTTTTTGTTCGACCAAAAATGCCTGGGGGTTTAGCACCCTTTCGCCTTGTTGCCCGGTTGTTCAACTTTTTCGACCAAAAGAAACATGTTTTTTGTGGCAAAGGACCCAGAAATAAAAGGTCAACCTTTTGGCACCTCCACATCTTGTTTTTCTCTGCGCGCCTTGGCCTCCGCCCTGCTGACGAAAGCGATCCGCCATCACGAAGCCCACGCGCAGAAGGTCCGCCATGCGCCGGGTGAACTTCATGCCACCGCCGTTGGTGGCGCACACCAGCGTCCGCTCCTGAAGCCAAGCGCGCGAAGCTAGGGCCCGGAGGGGGGGGTTGGCCTTGGAGTGGGGGATGGAGGGTATATACCACCTGCATATAAGGCGAAAAAGGCCGCGGTAGAAGCCCAGGAGGTTGTGGGGGGCTGGCCTGTTTGGGATGGACTGCGTTACAAGCGTCCAATCGCGTTTGTGGTAGACAAGCATCCAATCTCATCTACACCTCCAACCGAAGCTACCTGGCCCGAGGCATTTGGCTTGGAAGGTCATGTTGGCCCCTCCAAAAGTGGTCTGAAAGGCCTCCCCCCCATGAATCAAGGCGAATTGAGCAATCTGCGCTCAACATTAGTCACTTTTGTAGGTAAATAAATACCCTGTTTTACCGTGGAGGTGGTGGTTTGGGGGTAGTGCAATTATCATAGATCCAACAAAGGCAATTGCGTCTTAACATCTAACAGTAAAGTTGGCCAAAACCACGCTATCTGGCAGGTGTTGTGATCATTTGCAGCAGGTTTGTCCTGCAGGTTTCTTAGTTTCGGCCCATTTTTGCAGATCCAAACATCTCAAGAAGAGGCGCCCTCAGCCTTGCCATATCCCTCGCGTGGCGGCATAATAAGATGCGCGAAGCGTTGCATTCATGAACTAAGTCCTCTAGGAATAAGGGTACTATTTTTTTCTGTAGTCTATTTTAGTAGGGGAACCCTCCCCCCTAAAAAGGGTAACGCAACGCAACACAACGCAATTCGGGCACTACTGGGGGACCTAGTCAAGAATGTGTCCGTGGCCTAGTTCTCGTGCTGGGCCTGGGCATGCATGCTTCTGGGGAATGCTGGGGTGGTTGTGTACTTCCATTTGCTTAAGCCCCTGAGAGAACAAAACATCCGTCCAGTGATAGTTTCAGTAAAAGGGGGAAGATACTTGCTTAAACATTTCAGCAAATGGAAGTGTACCCAACTTGCCAGGCCCCGCCCTTTTGGGCAAAACACATATCTCGTGGCAAAAAAAACCCGGCCATCCTCATCGAAGCAGGCCACGTTCTGGCGGATGAAGTTTGCCAGATACTGATCCGAGCTGAGCTCGTCCAGGACCATCCCTGGGGGGCCTCCAGCGTGTTTTAACTTACCCCTTAAACCTCCAAGCCCTGGGAAAGTGTTCATCTTTTACAGACATATAGCCCATGTTACGCAACAAGTTGAGAAAAGTTGTGTTTTTAAGAGGTATGTTTTTGTTTGTTTGACCCACCGCGCATGTTGGCCGTTCACCCAGACAGAAAACACCGGTTCAAACTTGCTAGAAGCCAGTGGAAAGGAGATATACAGTGGTCAAGCCATGGTTACTCAGAACAAGCAAGAGGACAAACGCACTTGGTGTTGGAATATCCGCATGTCTGTAGTTCTTACCCGTTGCTAAATCCAAGGAATGTTGCATCTGCGCTGTCCCAAGGATGTGGCATGGGAAAACTGAGGCAGACACTGCTTCATCACTAGTCAATATGATGCGACGGGTGGCTACCCTGGATTCTGCTTGCTCACAGGCCGTTGGGTAACCACAACGTCTGCAGCAGAAACACACCTGGGACTACCGCTTTTTGCACGTCACAGGCCATTGAAACAAAACGTTCTGCAAGACTGTAGTGTGAGTGGCAAAAAAACAAGAGCAGTGGGGGGGATACATGCAAGCAGGCAGGCAAGCGGGCAAACAGCCACCGCATCGGGGGGCAATTCGATGACGAATTGCAAAGCAACAACACCAACGACGTCAACAATCACACGACCAACCGATGCGGAAAACACCAAGATGTTTAATTTAATATTTATTTCTTAGAAAACAAAAAGCAGGGACACACACCGCCAATCCAGGGATGCATCCGTCACACGCTTTCCCCGTGGCAACACGAGCGGCTCCAGTTGTTCGGTTGCTAATTTCTGAACCTTCCTTAAACATCCAAGCACCATCTTCACAGGGATATCCTTTAAATGAGACTGTCTCTGCTTTTTTGAGGGGCTAATCTCTGTCTTGTTGGTAAACTCTGTTTCTTCTTCTCCCTCTGCTCTTTTTCTGCTCTTTCTTCTTGTTCGGCTCTGCTTTTTCTTGGGGGAGGAGTGTCCTCCTTTTTTTTGCCGGGGGGGATGTTCCTTTTCTCTCGGTTGCTTTCTGCTCCCCTGCCAAAAGTGACCAACTATTTTTTGGTGGTTTCATGGCACACCCGTCAGTTGGCAAAAGTTAAAGCCCTAATATCCCAGGAAGATGTACCAAAGGGGACGTTCCTTCTTTCTCGGTTGCTTTCTGCTCCCCTGCCCAAAGTGACCAACTTTTTTTTGGTGGTTTCATGGCACACCCCTTAGTTGGCAAAAGTTAAAGCCCTAATATCCAAACAAATTTGTACCAAAGGGGCCACGGAAAAATAAAAATGCCACGCACCTCCTGGGCGTCCGAGTCGCTGAAGGCGGCCTCCGCTTGGTTGTGGAGGTCCACCGTGACGCAGCGGGTGGCCCCAGCCGTCTTCATGCAGCGGAGCAGCAGCTTCGGGGCGATGGCCTCCCCCGCCACCAGCTTCCGGTCCTGGGAGTTGTGGGGTGACGGTGCGGCTGTGGGGCGTTGGTTGTGGGGTTGGTTGTGGTTGTGTTTCTTGTGGGGTTGGTTGTGGTTGTGTTTCTTGTGGGGTTGGTTGTGGGGTTGGTTGTGGGGTTGGTTGTGGTTGTGTTTCTTGTGGGGTTGGTTGTGGGGTTGGTTGTGGTTGTGTTTCTTGTGGGGTTGGTTGTGGTTGTGTTTCTTGTGGGGTTGGTTGTGGGGTTGGTTGTGGTTGTGTTTCTTGTGGGGTTGGTTGTGGGGTTGGTTGTGGTTGTGTTTCTTGTGGGGTTGGTTGTGGGGTTGGTTGTGGTTGTGTTTCTTGTGGGGTTGGTTGGTTGTGGTTGTGTTTCTTGTGGGTTGGTTGTGGGGTTGGTTGTGGTTGTGTGGGGTTGGTTGTGGGTTCTTGTGGGGTTGTTTGTGGGGTTGGTTGTGGGGTTTCTTGTGGGGTTGTGTTGGTTGTGGTGGTGGGGTTGGTTGTGTTTGGTTGTGGGGTTGGTTGTGGGGTTGGTTGTGGGGTTCTTGTGGGGTTGTGGTTGTGTTTCTTGTGGGGTTGGTTGTGGGGTTGGTTGTGGGGTTGGTTGTGGGGTTGTGGTTGTGTTTCTTGTGGGGTTGGTTGTGGGGTTGGTTGTGGGGTTGGTTGTGGGGTTGGTTGTGGGGTTGGTTGTGGGGTTGTGGTTGTGTTTCTTGTGGGGTTGGTTGTGGGGTTGGTTGTGGGGTTGGTTGTGGGGTTGGTTGTGGGGTTGTGGTTGTGTTTCTTGTGGGGTTGTGGTTGTGTTTCTTGTGGGGTTGTGGTTGTGTTTCTTGTGGGGTTGGTTGTGGGGTTGGTTGTGGGGTTGGTTGTGGGGTTGTGTTTCTTGTGGGGTTGGTTGTGGGGTTGGTTGTGGGGTTGGTTGTGGGGTTGGGTTGTGGGGTTGGTTGTGGGGTTGGTTGTGGGGTTGGTTGTGGGGTTGGGGGGGGTTGGGTGCCTGCAAGGGGGGGCGGGGGAGGGGTCGACTCAGGGAGCCCGTAAAGGTGGGGGGGTGGAGGTGTTGTGTGGGGTGTTGTGGGGGTCCGGGACCTCAGGGACTGTGTGCTCTATTGTGGAGGTTCCGGATTTCCAGTTTGGCATTAGAGCAACTTGGGATTGAACTTGAACTGGGAACCCTTGGGCTGACATCAAATTTCCGTGGGGATTCATGTGCACCCAGCACATTTGAGGTAGGGTCCGATGAACAACCATTGCCGGATGCTGGAGGCAGATAGCGGCCGGGGCAACCCGTGGGGCAGGCAACCTCACGATATATGGCAGCTTGACCTAACCGCCAAGGGATGCTGTATCCAAATGGCTTGGTTTAACATCACCTTTTAGGCAGCAAAAAGACACCCTGCAAAATCCAAAAGAGCTCGACCATATCTAAGGGTCATCTCAAAACTTTCAGCAAGCCCTTGGAATGCACTGAGGACACCGATTATTAACCGGTCATTCGTAAATTTGGAGGAGCCTTTCAAATATTCCCTCTAACCTCCCGATTTTGACGATCCCTTGGTCATCTTTCAACCGGCCATCCGCAAATCTGGAGGAACCTTTGAAATTTCCCTCCGCCCTGCATGGGGATGAATGACACCAAGTGTCCGCAAAGGGCCTCCCGATTTTGACTAGGTCCTCCAGTAGAGAGGTTAGAATAAGGGTGCCCTTTCTTCTGTAGCCTATTTTAGTAGGAGAACCCTCCCCAAAAAAAGGGGTGAGAAAGGGCACTACTGGGGGACCTAGTTGATGCTCCCCTGATCATCAGGACCCCGCTTCGTTCCTCCCATCACGTCCTGGCGGGCATAGTCCAGGCATGGCATGACCACTGTGAGGCGATGAGGGGACTCCCCCTTCAGCGCACTCACCAACAGCAGCAGCCGCATGAGGTTGAAATTCATCTCCGCCTCCATGTCATTTCCTGACAAATCGCCCTCTTGGTCCGGACTTTGTGCACAGAGAAGGTGAAGAGACAAGCAAACCTTACAAATTCACAGGGGCTTGTCCCTGGCAGTGTGAAACGGTTCACAAAGGTTCCCTTTGTTTCCCTTTAAAACATCACCAGACAAAATCACCTTGGGCCAAAGAGGTGTGAGCTCCCTGGGAAGATCTGGGAAGGCAAGTGCCCAAAATGAGGTCGAACGACTTCTCCCGGCGCATGGGCTCGAGGCCTCCTTCGGATCCTGATTTCTTAGTTACCAGCGTGTTAACGGGAGATTTCCAATAACAGGTTGGCATGGGATGCTGCGGGATGTCTTGAGAAGATGCGCAGTCCCCCGAGCTCTTTTTCTTCCTTTTTGTGCGGGGGGTTGTGGGGGGGGGGGGAAACTTGACCTCTGACCTGCCGCATGCGCTCGCAGCTGCTTCCGGCAACCAGGCTGTGGCTTCCCTTTCTTTCGGGATCGGATCCCGATCCAAAAGTTGCTAAAAGTTCAGGGCACCCCTTAGTTAGCAACTCTTCAAGGGGCCAAGGGGTTGGATTTGAATTGGTGGGTTTGGTGCTTTGGATTGGATTGGTGGTTTGGATTTGCAATTCAACCCCTGGTTCTGCCAATAATCAATAGGGTTTGCATGGGAAACGTACCCCTCCTCAACCACCAAACCACAGGGCTCCAAACCACCAACTGGAGGCAAGCTGATAAACTTCACCGATGGGGCCCGTGCTTAAAAGCGTGACAAGGGCTCTAAACAATTGAATTCGGCTATGGCGAACATGAACTGCTCGACATCCAGAGCCTCCCCATGCGGACAGTCCCCACAAACCCGCACACGTCCAGTTTTTCAAAACGGCATCCCACTGGACATGAAGCCGCGCATCGAACCACGATTACGTAGACGTCGTGATTGGCGACAGTCTGCAAGACTTTGGGGCTGATCTCCCCATTGTCAAATATCCTTAGTTTCCCGCGGATCCAATCAAAGCTGAACCTGACAGGGGAACATGACCAACAATGGGCCAAGGGACCACTAAATGGTCAAAAGTAGGAAGCCTTAAGCAAAAGGATACAACACCTTGGTCTTCCAAGGGCCCGCAAAAACAGGGTCCTTCTTGATTTTGCTCTTGGTTGAAAAAGGATAAAATCAGCCAACACCCCAATCAACATTCAGTATCTGAAAAGAGCACTCCCCGGAGCGCCACCGCAAGTGTGACAGCACGCCCTTCAGGAACTGCTCGCTGCCCGGCCTCAGGCCCAATGCAAGTCACAGCCACGCACAGGTACAAAACTCGGTTGCGAAATCTGCTAAGCCCTGCTAAAAGTGACCAGCTTTTAGCGGTTTAGTACCGAAAACCCATTAGTTGGCAAAATGCACTCAAGTTTTTCTCCGAGTGTCTGAAGGGGAGTAGGAAGCAATGAGGCACAGCGTTTACCAATACGACATCGATATATGGCTATTCCAAGATTCACACGATATAAAACACTTCTGTGGGCGTGTCTTTTAGGGGAGCCAACAAACATTATGGTTTTCTTGTTGGTTTCCCCTTTTCAACCACCAAAAATGGGGTACCAACTCAAGAGCGACACATGCATGTATGTCATATTTCTGAAGGCCAGTTCCAATTGTTTGTCTGCCTTCCCCTTATCAGGATGGTGAGATTTTGGTCGCCCGCCAAACCTACCAAGGATGCAACATATCGAAGGGCTAAACACCCTGGACGCTAGTCCAGTACAGCCCCTGAAACATTGAGTTTGACTTGCTCCTGGGGAGTTTCCAGCTTGCAATTGCCAAGATCGGTGCGTCGCAGCTTGCCAACAGGTCCCACAAGTTCTGGGAAATGTGTCCTGAAAAGTGGTCCGACCCACGCATTGCAATTGCCGAGCCGGGCAGTGGTTTTTTTCTTGGGCTGTTGGCACTCGCTGCGGCATGTCTGAGTCTATCTCACTCCTTCGTCTTTGGGGCTTCGCCCAGACCAGGCAGCTTTCTGCAAGAGTTTGGTTCAATCTCTCGGTTGCTTTCTGCTCCCCTGCTAAAAGTTTTTAACTTTTAGTGGTTTAGTGTAGTTGGCAAAAAGTTAAAGTCCCAACAGCCAAGCAAAATGCACCAAAGAAAAAAAACACATGACATTGGTTTACTCGCACATCGTCATATTTCCATACATGCACGCGCACACGCACAGACACAACATCGTAACTCGATGTGTGTATATATATATATGTTTACTCTTGTGCTGTCCAATCATAGGCGTATGGAGTTCGCGTTCGTGAAATGAGTTAGGCCCAGTTGTAGAATGTATATTTTATTGTTTGCTTCACTTTGAGTCACTAACATGTAAAATGCCTCCAAAGTCTACCCCAGAGTTCATCTCCACGACTTCCGCGCTTCCTAATGTTGACCCAGAATCCCCACTCAAAGAGCACCCCCCCGATCAAAATCAACCAGGGGTGTCTCACATTACTTCCCCCTTCCAGCTCCAAGCCCTGGGGAAGTTTTCATCTTTTACAGCCATATAGCCCATGTTACCCCCAAAACGTTGAGAAAAGTTATGTTTGTTTTCTTCTTTTTTACTTTTTTTTAAGAGGTAAGATTAAAGCCGAGGGGCAGCCCAAAGAGCACCGGCGGATGGCCCAATGGGATGCGGATCGCCTGCACGGAGTCCTCGCCCTCGTCCTCGTACTCGCAGTCGTCGTCCGAGGAAGCCATCAGCCCATGACGCGCACGCCCAAAAAACCGCGGGAGTGCAAAACAAAATGTGGGGCCTAGAACAGACAGGAGTGTTGTTTTGGTGAAACTAAAATAATTTAGAACATGTAATTACGAACTATGAACATGTTTTTGGGTTGTAACAAAATCAATAAAGGTGTGGAAGTGCTTCCTGATCTTTGATTGCAAGACAACCAGGCCATGCAGAAGAGCATGCACAAAATGTGCCGGCAAGCTGCTATGAGTGCAAGAGACATCAACAAAGCTACGATATGGCTCACACATCAGAGCTCCATTTTCCAAGTGGAAGCAAGCCAAACAGCTGCATCGACATGGAACCCAGAATCGTCCCCCAAAAGGAGACCTGGCTTTGTGGGTTCCAAACCCACAACCGTAGGGGAGCAATTTCAATGATAGGCTCATTGGCGTTCTCCAAGAACACACGTGGCTGCTGACTCAAAACTGGGCCTCCAACAAGAAAAGCCTTTGCAGTTTCGACGATTCATCACAGCCCCAAGTCCGGCTTGCTTTCCTACCCTCCGCAAGGTACCGTCACATTTCCCCCCCCCAAACTCTGCACCACCTGCAAAAAGAATGTCAAGCATGAAAAGCGATTTTCATGGAAGATGAAAACGAAGCTAGGTCAAGGTAACAGGAAAAAGAAAGCAAGAACCACACAAAGAAGCTCAAAGTGTACTGACTGCAGGTCTATGCTCAATGAGTGGACTGGCCAAAAAAGCTGGGTTTTGCTTGCACAAAAAGGATCCAAACCCAAAACGTTTAAAGTCCATGAGCTCAGGGAGTGAGTGGTGGCTACCTAAAACCCCATACCTGTCTTCCAACTTCTCTCAATAGAAAAGCCGATCAAAGCTCGCTCTCGCTCAGTGAATGTTGTTCCGGGTGTTGGGGCTCCCCCCCCTGCGCCGCGCACCAACCGCCCCGCCTCCGCTGTTTCCCTCGTCTCCTTCTCTGCTGCCGCCCAAACCGCCGAGGCCGCCGCCGAGATGGCCGCTGCCACCTCGGCAAAAGCACTTCCCGTCGACGGCGGTTTGCGTTTTTTTTTGGTTTCCCCGACGAAAAGGGAAAAATAACATGCTACGGCCTCCAGTAAAAAAAGATAGAATAAGTTGGTACCATTTCTTTTTCGGTCGTCTATTTTAAATTAAAAGAGAGGGTAAAAGGGCACTACTAGGGACCTAGAATGGGTTGTCTCGTTTTAAGGGACCACCCCCCCAACAAAAAAACAACTGAGGGGCGGGGGGGTTCCCCTTAAAAGCAAAAAACCGGTTACAAATTATCCTGAAACAAAAACAGACCAACATGGGATCCCCCTTTGCTTTTGTTTGTGCATGTGCGGTTGGATCGGGACATAAGCATGGACGCAAACTGGAGGCGTGCTTGGGTGGGGGGAGTTTCATAGCCATGTTGGGCTGCACAGGTTGTTCTATGAAAGAGAGGATCGACATAAAGAGAAAAAGGGAAATGTCAAGAAAGGCAAAGTTAGCATTGCCATGCAATGCCTTTGAGGCTGATGCAATTCGGGACCCGCAATCCCAGGGCCGAATAGTGAGGGCCTAGTCCAACCTCCTTTTGAGGGGACTTCCATCACAGGACCATTGCAGGCCATTGGCAAAGGGACAAGGGCCTGTGTCGAATCCAACTTGTCAGGGAAATGTGGGCAGGTGCTTCTTGTTTTAATCCACTATAGTCTATAGTAGGTAACCCTTTGGTATGGCTCTTGGCTTTGCATCTGGGAGTTCCATGCCGCAGCAAAGTTGCCTCACCCAGTCTTCCGGGCAAACCTCTATAGTAGACAATCCTTCGGTATGAATCGCTACCTCCATGGATGGCTTTCCCTGGTTCCCTACTACAGTGGCTTGCCTGGAAGCATTGGGCCACTTGCCCAAGGTCTTAAGCATCGCCCCAAGAGGCCTCACCTTAGCTCAGTGAGTTTTGAATATCCTGAATCAGGGGGGAACATAGCACACCCCAACTGGAGGCATCCGGCTTAGTGGCTGGCCACGTTCGGAATCGGAAGCACTGGCTGGACGGGAAGCAATGTGACCACTAATCAAATAACCATGAATGACTTTGCCTGTAGATTTATAGATATACACAAACATATGTATATGCAAACCGTATAACATTATACGTATGTGTATATGCAAATACCTAGTGCGGCGGTCAGGTTGTCGCCGTTGCTCTACGGAAATGCACTCACGGCCCGAAATCACTGGGTGTCTCACAGCACTGTTGGCGCGCCGGCCTGCGCAACAAAGGTCCGCAGAGTGATCAACCAGACCGAAAACGGCCAGCGCCCTCCGGCTGAGCAAGAATTCAGACTCGCTTGCCTTTCAAAAGGCCCCGAAACAAAAGGCTAACCTTTTGGCACCTTTACAAAACATGGACCAACATGGGAAAACCAAAAGGTTAAAAGTTTGAACAACAGAGCAGAATTTCAGAATGCCCAGTATCATCGCAGGTATGGCAATCAACATTGTTTTGGCGGCAAGTGTTGTTTCTAGCTCTCATGCACGCCACTGAAGTAAGCAGCGTCAGCTTTCTATATTCCGTGACTTCTGTACCTGGTAATCATTCGCACCGTCAACAGTTAATCCCTTACATGATGTGGCTCTGTCAAACAAGGGGGTCCTGAAACCGATGGCTTCCCTGCTCCTTTTGAAACCAGCGGTAGATTTGGCACATGCCTGCCCTACTCTGCTCTCCAGCGGCGACTTTCGGTGTCATCCCAGCCTGCGCTGGTCTCCTGACAGCTTCTAGGGCGCGTGGCTTCCGGAATGCCATGGAAGTTCACGGTCACTTCAGAATCGATGTGCGTATATGCCAGGACTCACCAATCCTGGAAGTTCAGAATCACAATTTATGGCAAACATATTGCCTCCAACTGTTGTCCAAAAATTGCTCCTTTGGCTGATCAGCAAGATCAAAGCAACCCCAAGCCCCCATTTCCTTCAGGAATCCCCATTCAACTTACGTACTTCTATCTGACCCGGCTATAGGCAGCGAGTGTGTTGGCCCCAGGGGCATCTGTAAATCAGAAACCCGGGAACCCTCAACTTGGATCTCGTGAAAGAGCCATAAGTTCAGTCTTCCTGCAAGAGTGCACTTGGTCCTTGTCTTCCATACATGCGACGAGCCCCTAATGCACCCTTCTCAAAACCTAGCACAGGCTGACAGGAATGAAGTGAGACAAGAGGTTCTTCGTTCGAGGCCTTGTCGCAAAACAATGGCGCATCAAGCTACTTTTCCGGAGGCGCCCAGCGGGGTATTCGTGATTGTAGACTCAAGAGAAAGCATCCCAGGAACCCCCCTCCCTTCAAATGGAGTGAGAAAGAGAGAGAGAGAGAGAGAGCGAAAGAGAGAGAGAGAGAGAGAGAGAGCGAGAGACAGACACAGATCGAGAGACAGAGAGACAGACACAGATAGAGAGACAAAGACAGAGAGATCAGCGAGTGAAAGCCGATCGGCCTCACTGAAGAACAAAATATGACTTCCCCAAGATGCGCTCAAGATCAAGACGTCCAACATGGAACGCACTAGGCTCCAATTTTAACCCGTTTGCTTTTGCTAGAGCGGACAGGGAAACCTAGAGCATTCCAGTACACACCTTTCCGCGCGTGTAGAACGAGGTGGTGCGGAACCCTCATACCAACCCTCATACCAAATCAAGTCATGACCTCAGGTTTGTATAGCTTTTAAGTTGGTTTAGTGGTTGGGTTGTGGGTTTCCGTTTAACCCACAAGCTCAACCTTTAGAATAAGTAGCACAAACGTAGTCGCTTCCGTTCCGCTTCTAGGTCCTCCAGTAGAGGTGTTAGAATAAGACCATTTTTTCGGTAGTCTATTTGAGTAGGGGAACCCTCCCGCAAGAAATGGTAAAAGGGCACTGCTGGAGGACCTAGCTTAGTATTGGAATCAATTGAGCCCAACCCAAAAAGGGGCACCGGTCACCTGACTGAGGCTTGTTTTTGGCTGCGCCAAAAGGCCCCAGCCAGCGTGGTGGGCGGCACCATGTCGTCATCCGGCCTCATCGGGCAAGCATTCCCTCCATTCGCTTTTGTCGTCCCCCAGGGGAAAAAAAACTGTAGTGATAGATTCCCGTTAAAATCAACAGGGGAAATAACAAATATGATGTCAAGCAAAAATGGAAGATTCGGGCATCCCAAAGTCCTCCAAAAGAGTCTAGAAGGGAGGGCATGGGCTTGCTGGCTGCAATAGGGGCGTTTGGCCACAAATTATCTGTTTTTTCGTGGCTTTAAATGAAAAACAACAGGTTTTCACCATCATTTTGGGTGGTCCACTAAAAACCACAGACCCAAACGACAATAGGCCCGAAACAGCAAGTGCAATGCAAGAAAGTGCCCGACCAAGAGGTCACCCTGGAGGGCCAATCAGCTCTCTCTCAGCCGGTCGCGTCCATCTGGGAAGTGACCTCAGCACTTCCCAAAAGCTTGTGTTTCACTTTGGCTGAGTCAGAATGTCATGCATTCCTATACTTGTCCTCATGCTAAGCCATATCCTTACAGCTGGCTTTCAGAATGCGCATTTCTGTCTCTCATGCTTAAGAGAAGCCATATCCGCACGTCCAAACGTCCAAACCAGCCGAGTTTGAATGGACTTGGAGCATCGGTACCCAACAGCCTCTTTCAGAACCAAGCCTGCGAAAACTTCTGCTGAGTTCCGAGGAGGTCCCAACCTGAAAGCACCAGGGAAGCCAGGGCTTACTTAGAAAACCGAACATGTTTACTCGCTGGCGAAATCTGCGAAGCCCTGCTAAAAGTTTGGCCAACTTTTTTAGTGGCTTAGCACGGAAAACCCAACTTCGTGGGCAAAAAGTTAGTCAAAGTCCTAACAGCCCTTGGCAAAAGGCACCAAATATTTTCCAGCGCTGTGCCATGCTCTTCTCCGTCTCTTGGGGCTTGTGAAGGCGGCCCCCGCCAACCTTTGCTGAGGTCCCCATCAAGTGCCAGCAAGTTCATGCTTCTGAGATGTGGCAGCGCCCGTTCCACGAACCTCCTGTTTCACCATGCCAGCAAGTCACTGGGGCATTTGGCTGTGGGTCAAAAGCCAAATCGTACCCCCAGTGAATATTTCCCAATCCCCACTAAAATAGGTTCTAAAATGGGTGGTGAATTCACCTACCAACCAAAATGGGACATGGGATCCCATTGGTGTTGACCCACGGCCATTTGAACCTCCCCCCTGTGCTCAGACTCATTTCTATGCATTCTGAGCCTCGCTCTGGGCTGAGGCGGCCCTTCTTACTGCCCTTAGGGCAGGGGGCTGTGCAATGATTCGGTCAAGGCACACCCGAAGCAAATCTCGGTTGCTGTCTGCTCCCCTCCTAAAAGTTTAACTTTTAGTGGTTTCGTGGAAAACCCATTAGTTGGCAAAAACTTAAAGTCCTAACAGCCAAACAAAATGCAACAAAGAAATACATGCAACTTCAGCCATCCCTCTTGGAACAGGCATGAGCAAGCAATCCTCCAACCGAAATGCAGACCCCGCATAAGACTTGCATCAGAAAACGCTTCGGTGACTCACTGACTTGCTTGTTGTTGACCCCTGTGCAAAAAGCTTCACAGTTTTTGTGGGTCCAATGGAACATCCACTGTTTCAACCAAAAAGTTGTTCATTCGGTCCAAAGATCGAACAAGATAGCCATAAAGCTGACATCATCTCTTCGGGAACCCTTAGGCACTGGTAGCATGGGCAGGGCCAGGAAACCCCACAGGGCACCATGCCAAGTGCATCGAATTAGTGACGTGCCTTGTTTGCGTGCTGGCTTGTTTTTCGCAAACCACTCGGAGCCATCCCAAATAAGCTAGCCAGGTATATGCGGTATATGGGTGTTTACTAAATCGCCTGGTTTCCTTTTTGGTTGCCTCACCTGGCCGAAGGATCTGGAAGTAAAAGGCTAACCCCGCAAGCTTGTCAGTTCAGCTGTTTTGCACTGCGATATGCTCGCAAGAAAGGCACAGCACCCGAATATCTCCCGTTGCCACAGAAAAATAACTAAATCACAAAGCACCCTTTGCATGCCTTGTCCGTGCTCAAGATCAAAACAAATCAAGCACCCCTTGATCATACATGCAGCACGCAAAGCACGTAAATCGAAAACACATCATGCACTGCCGAACGCCTGGATCCAAGTGGCCACGCACGTCCAACTCGGGTGGAAGAGAGTTTTCCCCCCTTTGCTTCCTATTTTGTTTCAGCTTGGAAGACCAAAAACGGCTTTCAGCTTCCTTCCAATTAATGGTGGTTGTGGTTTGGAGATGATGGGGTGGTGCCCAATTTGTCCTCTACCAAAACCAGGCTTCAATTTCCCAAACAACCAAACCAAACCGCAAAATGAGGGTTCTCAAACACTGGGACAACAGTCTGGATTTAAACAAAAGCGATGGCTGACTGTTTGCTTCACTTCTGTCGTTACTTGTCAAAATTGACTGGGTCAGGTTGCCACAGACTGATTGAGTAAATGATCCTCACTCCAAGTTCCTTTTCAACTCAGGGTCCAGTCTCTCGATTCTTTGAGCTGACTCATGGAAAGCCCTGGTTCAGAAACGAGCACAGGTGTCCCGTTCGAAAAAATAGATGGCCCTGGCAAATGGAACAAAACCAATACAAACCTAACTGACCTAAAACACGACACCTGTGGAAGCGAGGGTCCGCCTGAGATCCTGAGAACAAAAAAGCACGCCCTCCCCCTGCAAACGACCTTTTCATCCGGGCCGATTCAAGTGACATCCTCAAGTTGCACTTATGGTTGCCAATGTCCAAGTACCCAATTATTGAGAACCCCTTGACATGTGGGTGTCTTAAAATAGGGGAACCACCAAAAAGCTTGGCTTCCTCTGGGTGTCCATTTAGCACTATCCAAACCGGGTGCCATCAAATTGAAAGTCCCATGTTCACTTGGCCATGGGTCAAAAGCCAAATCGTACCCCCAGTGAACATACCAATCCAACCACTACAATAGGTTCTAAAATGGGTGGTGAATTCACCTACCAAAACTTGGTTGACGTTGGAACGGGGGCAAACATTTAAATGTTAGCAGTTAAGTGGGGAGTTCCCACTAAACCACAATAAGCAAAAATGTAAAATGCTTCCCACAACGGTTTTGACCACGGCCGCTTGGGACGCCAAAGATCGGTCCAAGTCCAAGCGTGGCTCTAGGGATCTTGTCTCTCAAGCCGCTTCCGGGCGCGCCAGGTTTTGCCTCATCTGCATGAGCTGAGCAAATACTTCCATTTGGTTAAGACCCCGGGAAAAAATAACAACAAATATGTCCAGTAGTGAAATAGACTCCCTTTAACACCAACAGGCGAAAAAAAAATAAAAATATTCAACCTACGAATTACCCATCGCCTTTTGCTTGCTCGAAGCAATAACCATGCGCAGTTCAGTACCCAGCCTGTCTGAAACGATTCAATTCGCTATCCATGCGCTTTCACTTTGCATGGTTTATACGGCCGTTTGTCAGTACACAGACTTGCCTTTGAATGCGAAGACGAAAGGACCGCTGGCATGCCCCCTCACAAAACTGGACTTATAGGATTAGACACCCGTGGCAAACAATGGAAACTCAAAAAGAAGCACGATGTGAATCCCAGTGTGCTGCCAACTCAGGGTTGTGTCCATTGTTGGACTCGCCACCGGCACACAAGCATCTGGCCTCCAAAGGCGTGAAGGGGGTGGCCACTTTCGTGCGTGATAAGTGATTGAATGATTGCGGAGCCAGTGTGGCTACCAGCGTCGAGGCAATCAATCGTTGGCAAATGAAACTCTCCATGCCTTTCTATAGTTTACCATGTGCAGGCTGGTTCATGCACCTTTTTCATATATTGGCACCAAAGCGATTTAGAGAGAAAGGTTTGATTGGCTGAAAGCGTGTCCCTTGCAGCCAGGCGCCGCCAACTTGCAGGCTGAATTCCACCTCGACTCCTGCGCGCACGGGTTCACTGGTTGGAGCAAAGCGGCCAAGCACCCCGCACAATGAAATTCACTGTTGGAAAAATAAGCAAATTGCAGAATCAAAGGGTTAAACTCAAGTTGGCCCAGGAGCAGGTGTTGTGGAATTCATGGCGCTACGCTTAGAACCAAAGTGAAACCATTGCGACTGTTTTCATTCAAACTGACAAAGGGCACCTATACTCCTGCTGGTTTTATTGTGAATCGCTCAGGGAAAGAGCTGAACACGAGGCAACTTGAGGAATTCAAAGGTGAGGATATGCTTGTGCAAGTGCCGTTGCCAGCCTCAAAATGGCGCTGGTCACGTATGTAAATGCCCCTTCATCCATGCCAAACGCGTACGTCCATGTTTGGCCCGAGAGACATCGGGACAACGGACGCATCCATCCAGCAAAAATCGGCAAAAATCGGATTTATGCCTTTGTTGCCACTGGCTCGCTTGCACCCTTTAGCCATTCCCCGCACCCAGCACAGGCTCTGTCAAAACACCTCGTCATGCACTGATTCCGAAAAGCAATTGTAAGGGAGCAAATGGTGCTCCCAGACGCAGGAGGCAACTAATCTCAAAAGTGATTCATCTACCTGGGGCAGTGTTCATTTTCGTTAGGGGGTCGAACATGCTGAGTTGAAAGGCATACAACGTGACTCAACTGGGTTGTTTCCTGTACTAACATGACGGCAGATCCCACCGACAAACACTGTACACCGCAAAGGTCATACCAGCTGTAAACACACATGTTGTATACATATCTATCTGTATATGTGAATAAGTGAATCTGAGGAACTACAAATGCGCACTACTATTTGGAGCCAGCCAAAGCGAACGAGGGCACACCCTCAAGAAACCCCGCCTGAGCCGCCTTGAGAAATCATCATCTCCGACACCGGCTCGTCTCTTCCAGTGGTTCGGCAGAAGACCTGTGCCCCCCAGGGACGCGAAGGCGTGTGGTTCGTATCCCAAATGAGTCACAATCAAAACCCGGTATTAAAATGGTCGTAATCGAGGAACCATGCTTCAAGAATTAAGGCGCCGCAACTATTTCTGGCTGGGACTGCCCCTTACTACCTGGGTTTTGATTGTGGCTCACATGTTTCGTTGCCCAGAGAAGGATTGTTCCATGTCGTGAATGCCAGGGACTGAGCCCCTATGCTGCGAAGAAAAACATTGCCTGGATCCACAGATTTGCTAATTTATGGGAAGCTTTCAAAAGAGCCATCCATCCCTTGACTAGCTAACACCATCCCTAACCCATGGATTTTCGTCAAAGTCCTTGCGAGGGCTTTTGGTGCTGACCTTGCTGGTTGAACCAAAATGGTACAGCAAGAGGACATTGGCTGAACAGCCGAAGAATCCACCACACTTCTTGCTCCCGAGGCTCTCTGATGTCCGTGTCCTTACTCTTGCGACCTCCAGCACACGCAGCATATATGTCGCAGTTGGGATCGTCCTCGCTCTCG